GTTAAAAATAGATAATAAATTTTATGGCGCTATTGCTAAAAATATCATATTAAAATGTTCAAATATTACTATAATTAACGTATTTTTAAATGAAGCAAATATTTTTATTAAGGCAATTTTGGAATATTTACAATCAAGATTTGATTTTAATAACTCTATTTACAAGTGTATAAATATTATGACCTTGGAACAGAAACCATCATTTGATGGTTTTTGTAATTTAATAAATATATTAAAATTACCGGTAGACATTGAAGCCTTGTTTGAAGAGATTGTAATTTTTCCATTTTTTATGATTCGCCAGAATAATTAAAGTTAGATGGTCTAAAAGCAGAGGAGAAATGGGTAGAATTTTTTCGTAATAACGATAAATCCCCATGCTTGGAAAAAATTTGCGAGTAAGCTTTTTCCTTACCTCATTCTAATGCCTCATCGGAGAGCATTTTTAGCCTGATGAGGACTGCCTGGAGAAAGGAGAGAAATCGAATTGCTTTAACAGCATTAGAAGCCGAGTTAATGGTTAAACAAAATTATAAAATGTCATGCCAGGAATTTTATAAATATCTTAATAACGACGGTAAACGTTTAGTTCCATTATTTAAATCTCAAATAAAATATAATTAACTAAAACTATTTGACTTTCTATATTTTATAAAATCTTATTTATACATTTGCATAAAATCAAATAAATTTATTTTTTACATTGTAAAATTAATATTTTGGCAAATCATAAAAATAAAGAAGCATTACAATCTCCTCAAACATGACATCATATTAAATCTTATTAATAATTATCCGATAATAGTAATAATATTCTTACTTTGGTATTTCTGCAGCATTTTAGTGAACCTTTATTAAATTATATTCTTCTGATACTGCATATTAACAGCATATAGTAGATTTCCTATATGTAAAATTCCTAAATATACTTCTGCCATATATTTTTGAAAATTTTTTTGAAAATATTAGGACAGCTTTTATAATCTATTTATTTTTTAAAGGTTTGTAAAATTTTAAAATTCTACGATGGCGCGTATTAGGAGGAACCTGTCAACCAACATTATGCTGACTCAATTCTGTAAATACACTCTGGTTTTTGCCAAATTCACTGAGGAATTATCAGATCAGAAAGCTGCCATGCAATTCATTGGTAATGCCAAATCTGCCATATTTACCATTATATATGGTTAGCTATGTCTTTGGATATTTCATATCTGGAGAAAATTTTTTTAATAGTTTTATTGAAATGACATTAATTTTGTTGAAATAGGGGAGGATCAAGGGAAATGTTTTGATATCTCCTTATTAGATGCATCTGTTAGAATTGCATATGTTTTGCACATCTTTAAAATCGTCAAGAATTGACCTTCTGTATTTATATCCTAAAACATTGATGATAGCCTTGCTCATTTGTGTTCTAACATTGTGATGTTAAGTAGCTCTCTGAATGTTGTACTGCATGATAGGTATTTACCATTTCCGCAACTATAGTTGCATCTGTATTATTTCTTATTTTTGAAGAATATTTTTGTTTTGGATGTTGATAGACTGCCCTGTACTGATTTATGCTTTGAAGATTTTTGATGCCTCAAAATATCATATTCCCTTCCCTCATTGTATTAACTAAATACTGTAGAACAACTTCCCCGCACTGATTATTAATATTTTTTACATTGTAAATTTAAAATTGTTTGTTTTTTTATAAAATCTTATTTATACATTAGCATAAAATATATTTTTTTACATTGTAAAATTACAATTTTTTTATAAAATTTTATCTTGTTTACATTCTTTTGTATTTAAAAAAGATCGTTGGTTATTATTTTAAAACAAAATTAATATATTATAATAAATCAATATGTTATTTTAATAATAAAGATACTATTTAAGAAATTTTGTGTCGTACTATAATTACCTATTTTGAAAAATAGTTGAGTATTTTATTTTGGAAAATAGTTACCTATTTTATTTTTAAAAAAGAGTTGGATATTTTATTTTGAAAAATAGTTGGCTATTTTATTTTAAAAAATAGTTGGCTATTTTATTTTAAATAATTGGCTATTTTATTTTAAATAATTGGCTATTTTATTTTGAAAAATGGCCCGCAAAAATTTTTTTTTTTAGCAATTTTCATATTTCTCCCACAATTTTTACATTACTCCTACAAAATACCGAATTTCTCCCACAATTTGAAAATTTTGACCTGGCAACCCTGGCCGGGAAGCTAGAGAGATTAAGGAAGAGAAATCCAGATGCAGGACATCTTGAAGATCTGGGACCATGAAGTGATAGTTTACCTGATTTAGTAAGGAATGATAATTTGCCACAAGAGGGGCATGAAACATAATTAGAAGCGATATGTTTTACAAGGATAATACTTTACAAATAAAATTTTGAACTTTAATTATGACTCTAAATATCATTGTATTTAAAAGTTATCAATTATCATTGTACTATAATCCTATAATGATAATATTAATTACCAGCTGATTTTGAATTTCTAGATATACAAAGGCATAAACTTAAATACAAATATCATTGAACTATAATTCTGAAATGATAATATCAATTATAGCTGATTTTGAATTCATAGTTAAATGCTCCTAAAATGATAATATAAATTATCAACTGATTTTGAATTTATAGCTATTATACAAAGGCAAAAACCTTTATTAAAATATGGAAGTATTAATGTGGCTTTAAAGAAGAAATTTTTGTCTATATTTAGCAAGTGCTTTAAATAAAGTGTACTAAAATTAAAAATTTACTTCTCAAATTAATCAGGCAATCTTTTGCCAATTGAATTTGATTTATTACAAACCCTATATCCTTCGAAATGGTTTACAATTTTGTGCAAGCCAAGCTTGTTATCAACAATATTTTATCCAAAACATAAAGTGATAAAATAAAATTTTTATATTCTAAAGACTATAACACTAGTCATAGTATAAGGATCTTCTGTCAGTAAATTATCTGACATTTTATAAGATAGTATAAACAATTAAATTACTTTGCTATTTGTCCAATTTTGAGAAATATTCATAAAAGCTACTATTTCAAAGATTTTCTTTATATCGTTAAAATTAAGACCACCATGTCTTTTCTAATGTGGTCTGTCCATTTATCATCTCTTCTATTATGCCTACAATTATTAATTAAGCATTTGTATTTTTTTTGGTTAATATTTTTAGTCATATTTTGAAATTGGAAAAATAATTTTATGACAAGAAATTTCTGATAACAACCTAATTTGCTAAACATCGACCAAAATTTAAAACCCCCACTAATTATTTAATTTAATATGTACCAACGGACATCACGAGGTCGAGTCCGATATCATAAACCAGAAATCACTTAGTTATGGATAGGTGTAGTAAAACATTAAAAGAAAAATTTTTCAAAAAAAGTACCCCCAAAGCAGTTGCCTGGGACTCTGCCCCCCGTAATTATTTACACCCCTAACACTTCTCATAAGTAAATATTTTTGGTTCCTGTAATCTACAATTTAAATAGAATTAATAAGAATAATCTATATTTTAATATTAAACAAATAATTATTAAAAAAGACAGTAAAAAATGATGCCTTATCACTGTTTCAATCATAAAAACGTCTATTTTTCAAAATTGTTTTAATATCATATGATTATTTATTTTTCAAAAGCTTAATTCTAATTTTAGGCGACAAGCAGCAAATACACTCATAACACACTTATGCTGCTTTTAAACTAAAGAAAAAGTGGTAACCCAGAAATCTCGTATCATTTATGAAATTTTTGAACAATATAAATTAGATTCTACGATATTTCGGCTCGGCCAAAAAGTACAAATTATGTGCAAGTTATCCGGCCCGCCCTGTAATAATTTTCGTGAAAGAACACGTGTAAAATTATATCTCACCACACATCCAAATACATGGCTGGGCTGTGAGATTAAATGGCCCCTAATGTGCTTGAAGCGATTCAGTTGTAATTAATTATGCAAGATAATTACAGAGGAGGAATTACATGTCCCAACCCGGATTATTTTTAAAAAATATTTTTCAGCACGGCACACATTTTATTTTTCAGCACGGCACTTGTTTTATTTTTCAGCCCAGGATTCTTTTTTTTTAAAAAAATTCGACCCCCATTTCATAAAAATAAAATTAACGGCCTGGGTAAGCAAAAAAATATACGGCACAGGTTTATAAATATTTTAAAAGCATAAAAAGGAACACCCCTTGTTAATTCTTTAAAAACGTTATGTGAGAAAATACAAACTGAAAAGTCGATATATACAAACTTTGAAACATTATTATATCAATATATATATATAATAATAAACAAATTTAATCGATATTTTATAAATACTATTTTGCTAGTGTTGCAAAAAAAATAAATCAGAGAGGCACAGATACCACTTTTTTCGCCAATACCAGATACAAAAAAAATTTATGAAATATAATTGAAAAAACTAAAATTTATTTGTGAAAAGAAATAAATATTATAAGAATATTCCTAATCTCCAATTCTACAAAAATTAATTATTAATTTAAGCAGTAAAAATGTTTTTTAATATTAAAGACACTTTTTTTCTTTCTCTGTTTGGTAAATTGTGGATCAATTTTTCTCTTATCAATTTATGGCTATGCAGACCAATTTTTTATTATAAATTATTATATTGGGTATTGACCACTGGTATTGGTTAAAATTAGAATATCAGTTGATACCATGAGTAATGGTATTGGTGCATCGTTAAAAATGATTGCACTCTCTTTATAATTCTTTTATATGAGACATTTAAATATAATATTTCGTCTAATTCTAACTATTTTATATAATGCTTAAGCGTCATAAATTATCAAATAATTTTCTATATTGAGAAAATATTAAAAAATAAAAAAATTTTATTATGATGTAATTAATTGTAATTTATCTTTTTATTAAAATTTTTGAAAGATCCAATAAATAATGAAATAAGTTGAATTTATATTTTTTAAAAAACTTAAATTTTGCAAAATATTGGAAATTGATCCATATTATATAAAATATTCATCATTGTTTCTAAAGAATATACTAAAGAAAAAATATATTATAATTATTATATCCAAATATAAAATCATAAAATGGCTAATAATATAATATTTTTGTAAAATTGCCATTGGTTGATTTGATCTTGGTTTTCAAATCAAAATTTTGATAGTTTCATAAAATATTCAACCAAAGTTCGAGCTGGTCGACCTTAACGGATTATGGAAATATAATATAAATTAATATATATTTTCTTTTTTAAATGAAGAATGAACGAAACATTAATTAGTTTTATATAGTAATCGAATTTACATCTAAATGAGATTCGATTAACATTATTTTAACCGGATTATTCGAGTGTTCAATATTTTAGAGAGTTTATAGAGAAGATCAAATGTCTATGCCGTATCTTTAGGGATACGCCCTAAGGTAACTATAGCAAGGACAGACGCGTCCCTTCCATTATTTTTACTAATCCAGCGGATATATTAAATATTTATAATTTTATGAAAACTAAACAAGCATATAAAATATTCAAAATCGAACCTCATAATACATCACATATTGATTCTATTTTCGGCTCTTATTTTTGAGCGGGGTTAATCAAACCCTTATATTAAAATAGGCATGTAAAAAAACATGTTATCCTATATAAAATTTTTATCCAAATCGGACACAATTTTTTGTAAAAAACCTGACATCCCTTTAGATAAATAAGGAGGAATTTCTTCTTTGCACAACATAACTCCAGCAATATCTAAATGCATCCAATTTTCACATGTTACAAATTCCTAGCATTAAATGTAAATATGATAATAATATTTTAGGTTATAGCTAATATGAGTTTAAAATGGACTGCAGAACTGGTTCAACTCTTACGATTTTTATTTTAAACAATATAAATATGATATTCTGAAAAATTAATCTATTTTTAATATAATCAAATTTAATACACATAAATTTTCTATAAATAGGCGGCCTAACGAAATTATTTAACCATTTTTTCATTATTTAACCTTTCCCCCCTATGACTTTACTTTCAATTGCAAATTTCTACATGTTAAATTATATAATTGATATGAAATATGGAAGAACCTTTAAGAAGGCGGCAGCAGTACAAGATTTTCCCGCAACTCCATGGCTTCCAAGATTATTAAGATCGGCCAGGTGGCAATCCTTCATAGATTTTGCATAATGAGAAAAAAGGGGTAATCTCCAAACCCTATCGCCCGTATGTTTGCTCGCCTGTTTCAGATTTTTATTATTAAATTTGCCAATCGTAAATAAATGAATAATTGATAAAATATTTGCCACGTTAGTCAGTTATTAGAAATAGAAGTCATGGGTACTTTACAGTTGTAACGTATCGTAATGCAATACATTAACAATATAAATGTTTTTAATATAAACCGTTATTTGTGATACTTATTTGAATCAATATGTTTTTATTTTATGTACCATTAACAAATTTGAAAATTAAAATCATAGTAATAATTTATTTAGGATAAATTGATAACTCAATATAGATATGTGCATTTATAATAATTTATACAAATTATACTCTCAAAAATTTTATTATCTATAATATTTTACTTCTAGCAAATGATTATAATGAGAATCCGATGTCGAAAAAACCCCAGTGGCTGCTGAACCTAAGGATACGATCATAGCTCCTTAAAATTATATTTATTTAAAATATTAATTTCTATGATCTACATAATAATTTTTTTTATCTAATAGTATTTAACTTATTTAAAATTTGCTTTAGTAATATTTCTAATAATTAATATATTATCCTCTTCTATAAGTGGTTCTGGCTAATCCATGGCAAATCGATCAAGAAAGATATTTTTGACCATCATTGAAAGCAAGTGAAACTTATTAATTTATATAAAGTCAAAATTAAATAATTATTTAAGTTTTAACTATAATTCAAATTGGCCTGGAGTAATCTTAATCATTCTTGTAAGCAATCAAAACATGGCTTGATATAGGAAAGAGCAACATCCAGGGTTAAATATAAATTATATATTATATTCTTTCTTGTTATAATTATAAGCTTATTGTAGTATCTGTCGATTTATAATGGACATTTATGGACGTTTTTCAATATATTATTCGAGAAGAATATTAGTTGTTTTATGTATGTTCCTTTGTTTTAAAAAAAATTGGAGTTTATATGTATAAATGTTATGAAAATATATTCGAAGGTAATTATAAAAAAAATATTCGACAGTTTAAATGGGTCTTATAATTATAAATGTTATAAATATAAACGTTTATAAATATATACGCTTAAGTTTAGTCCCTGTTTTAAAAGAAACCAAATAAAAAGGTTAAGCAATTCAATTAACTACTACCTAACAGGGTTGCCAGGTCAAAATTTTCAAATTGCGGGAGAAATTTGGATTATACGGGATAAATATAAAAATTTTGGTAGAAAAAAAAATTGCTATTCGGCCGGGATTTTGAATTGACTTAATTATCCGCCTATTATTTTTTATAATTAGTTTATATAAATACAAAGTCGGTAACTATTTTTCAAAATAAAATAACATCTTGATTTATTAAAATAAATTTATAAAAACACCAACGATCTTTTTTAAATTAAAAGAATGTAAACAAGATAAAATTTTATAAAAAAAAAGATTTTAATTTTACAATTAAAAATATATTTTATGCGAATGTCCGGCAAAACGACCGATTGGAAATCTAGTGTGTATAACATTATAGGGATAGGCACTTATTTATCACGTATCACGTTTAAATACATAATAAGGAAAAGGATTCCAAAAATAAGAAATAATACAGATGCAATTACAGTTGCGGCAATTGTAATCACTTATCTTGTAGTAGAACATTCACAGAGATACTTATCATTACAATGTTGGTAGAATCTTTTACCCATAATAAATGAAAACTATACTTGTAGAACAAAAATGAGCAAGGCTATCAATGTTTTAGAACCTAAATCCAGGAGGTCAATTCTTGACGTTTTGAAGATGGGCATACATATGCAATTCTAAAAGATTCATCTAATAAGGAAATATTAAAATATTTCTCTTGATCCTCCGCTATTTCAACAAAATTAAGGTCGTTTCAATAAAACTATTAAATTTTTTCCCTCAAATAGTGAAAAATCCAAAGACATAGCTAACTAATGGTAAATATAGCAGATTCGAGATTATCAATAAATTGCATGTTAGCTTTCTGATCTGATAATGCCTCAGTGAATTTGGTAAAAACAGAGTGTATTTACATAATTGAGTCAGCACAATTTTGGTTGCGATATGTTCCTAATAGCCGCCATCGATAGAATTTTAAAATTTTATAAACCTTTAAAAAAATATCTCTTAAATAAAAATTATAAAAGCTGTCCTAACATTTAGAAATTTTTTTTTAATAATGAATGGCAGGGGTATATTTAGGATTGATTTCACATGTAGGAAATCTACTACATGCTGTTAATGTGCAGTTGCAATCAGAAGAATCTTAACAAAGATTCGCAAAATTATTCTGCAGATGTGGTCATCTTTACAGTTAAAAATTGATAATAAATTTTATGGCGGGATTGCTAAAACCTAATTATATTTTATTTGAGATTTAAATAATAGAACTATATGTGTACCGTCGTTATTGAGATATTTATAAAATTCCTGACATGACATATTATATACTTGTTTAACCATTAGCTCGGCCTCTAATGTTGTTAAAGCAATCCTATTTCTCTCCTTTTTCCAGGCAGTCCTCATCAGGCTAAAAATGCGCTCGGATGAGGCATAAGAATGAGGTAAGGAGAAGACATACTCGCATATTTTTTCCAAGCAAGGAGATTTATCGTTATCACGAAAAAATTCTACCCATTTCTCCTCTGCTTTTAGACCATCTAACTTTAAGTATTTTGGCGAATCATAAAAAAAAATAGAATTACAATCTCCTCAAACGACATCAATGTCTTTCGGTATTTTTAATATATTTATTAAATTATAAAAACCATCAATTGATGGTTTCTGTTCCAAGGTCATAATATTTATACAATTGTAAATAGAGTTATTAAAATCAAATTTTGTAAATATTCTAAAATTGTCTTAATAAAAATATCTGCTACATTTAAAAATGTATAATTAGAGTATTATTTGAACATAATATTTTTAGCAATAGCGCCATAAAATTTATTATGAATTTTTAACTGTAGAGATGAACAGAGCTGTAGCATGATTTTGTGAATCTTTATTAATAAAAAATATTCTGATTACAACTGAATATTAACTGCATTAAGTAGATTACCTACATGTGAAACTAATCCCAAATATGCTTCTGCCATTTCATAATCCAAAAAATTTTTCAAAATTTTAGGACAGCTTTTAAAATCTTTATTTAAAAAGTATTTTTTTAAGGGTTTGTAAATTTTAAAATTTTATCGATGCAGGTATTAATGATAACTACCTGATAGGTACATATCGCAACAACTCACACCATTCCAAGTCAGACCACTCCACCAACTCTTTTAGTTGATGAACTAAATTCGTTAAACATTTCATCACAATTATTTCGACATCCACAGATAGTACTTTCATTGCTTCTTGTAAGAATTATGTAGCATATGGCATATACAGCCAATTGGTATTGATTCACTATTGTGCTGCCTCAATTGGGTAAATACACGGTTTTTGCCAAAATTTACATAAGCATTATCAGCACAGATAGCTGACATGCATCATTGTTAACCCTGAATCAGCTATATTTACATTATGTGGTTAGCTAAATCGTTGGATTTTTTACTATCCGAGGAAAATTTTTTTAACAGTTTTGAAATATTCTTATTCTTGTTGAAATAGCGAAGGTTTAATATTTCCCTTATTAGATGCATCTGTTAGAATTGCATATAGATGCCAATCTTTCAAATCGTCTAGAATTGACCTCTAGGATTAAGGTACTAAAACACTTGTGATAGTCTTGCTCATTTGTGTTCTAACACAAGTAAGGTTTGCACTTATATTGGAGACATTAAATATGAGAAAAAGATTAGGCCAACATTGTGATGCTATAGCTCTGTGATTGTTGAACTACATAATAGGTTTATACGATTTCCGCAGCTGTAGTTGCATCTGTATTATTTATTATTTTGGAGAATATTTTTGCATTGCAATCGATGTTGATATAAGATATACTCCCCTGTACCGACTTATATGAATGAAATGATGTTGATTTATTACTGGATAAAAATAAAACAGGATAAAAAGAAATTTATAAACTAGACATGTTCTTCGAATAAATATTTAAAATTTATTTTAAAAATAATCAATTACTGTCTCTCAAAATTATTATTTATATATTAAAAACATTAAAATATTATTTTAAAAAAATTGCGGGAGAAATTAAAAATGGTGGTAGATTTTTGCGGGAGATTTCTAATTGCGGTAATTATGCGGGAGAGATGTCTGCGTGTAAACTAACAAATTGTGGGAGTCTCCCACTGATGGGGGGAGACATGGCAACCCTGCTACCTATACGATCAAGAGCCATAATAAAAATTAAAAAGGTTGATATACGAAAATAAAGAGGTTAAAAAACATATTTGTATGCAATGTGTATATAAAAATTGGAATAGATGGAAGGAAAAGAGGAAAAAAGAGAAATAAATGGAATATATTTTTAAAAGAGAAATTTGGACATATATGCAGAGTTGTTAAAGTATCTAGATACTGTATCTAGATACTGTATCTAGATATAAAAATGTAGTATCTGTATCTGTATCTAGATAGATTTTTTAGAAAGATATCTGTATCTGTATCTAGATATTATTTTAGAGGTATCTGTATCTGTTTTTAGATACTTTTTCAGATACATTTTATATACCCCTTTTTTTATTATAAATAAAAATATTTGACTGTAAAATTTATTTTATTTCATATGAGCTTATGAAATAAATAAATATATATATATATATTATATATTAATATTTATTAATATTATAATAAAGAATTATATATACATAAAATATTAAAACTTATATATAAAAAATATATATAAATTGTCATAAATGATACTTATTTTAATAGAAATGTCAATCAATTTTTATAAATATATATATATTAGTTTTTAATTAATGAAATGTCAGTCATTTCTGAAAAATAGTTTTGTTAATTTTTGTGAAAAAGTGATCATTATTTTTTTTACTTGGTAATTTTTTCATAATATTTTTTGTAATGATAAAAACTTTGAAATTTAATAAAAAAGTGTTTCCTTATTTTATAATTCCGAATTTAATTCTTTAATTCAGTAGTGTGTCTTTTTGAGTTTATTTTTATATTAGAATTTAGTTTTTTTTTTTATATAATTAATATTAAGTATTTATTTAATCAAAACTTTCGACTAATAAGATAGTTGTTGTTTTTGTCATTGGTGACCGAGACTACCAGGATAGTTTCGATTCCAGGGTTATTCGGTATTTCAAGGTAAAAGAAAATATTTTATTTTATATTTTGTATCTCGCCTCAGAACACAACGCAATCACCTTTTTGTGTAAATTTTTAGAAATTTAACACGGCCGTTTTAAAGTAATATAAATTTTTCATATAATGAGATGGGCTTTATATTTAATTTTGATATTGAGCCTAGCGTATTTGATAAAATTTCGGAGTATCCGAGTATTACTTATCAAAGTTTGTAT